CCAACGTACATAAAACTGCAACCTCGTCCAATCTTCGCCCAGCTAGGGCCTTTTCAGGGTCCTTCCATTGGAATTTCATCTTCGCGCCGAGAAGAACCATGACCCTATGCTTAGATAAGAACTGCGAGACATTGCTAGCCAAGCTGGGCACGGCGTCTTCGTTGATTTGTAAGAAGCCTGGACCCTGGTGAACAAAGTATGAGCGGTGGGATAGGAGAATGAAGGGTAATGTAGGTTGATCATATACAGCTCACTGCTTGTAATATAGTGACCCATATTATAAAAGACTTGAATTTATGAGCAGCTTCGGAACGGTCAGAGGATCTGGCCTTGCATTGATACTGCAAGGAATACCACTGCGTTCAGCACGTTAGCATTGTTGTTCATGGAAAGTACTTATATCAATAGGAGTTAGGCTAGAATTATCTCTTATCATCCTATCCTAAGCTAATTATCAACATACTTCCCGTACAATGACAAAATGATGAGAAACGCTCTGAGATTTAGAGGACCAACAAATTGTATCGACACGTGTGGTGAAATGGTATCATGCTTGCCTTCCATGTTCGTTAGCAAGCGGCTCGGGTTCGATTCCCGGCGCGTGTACTTTTTTCGCCTAGCTTAACCCATTAAGTGGGGAGATTAAGATTTTCTTCCTTTCCAAATGTTTTGTTGGTAAATAATAATGGTAAGTACTATCATCTGATTCTTATGTAGCTTGTATCTACGTTCGATGAGAATGATTCAATCGCCGCTTAAAAACATGCTCCGCGCGTCTGAACTTCATCTCTCCGCCTCAAATGTGCAATGGTCGCAGCCGCCCCTCAAAGTCTGGTTCTAATTCTTCGATGAATTTCACTCCTTGAGTTGTATGCGTCATTTGACCCATAATAGAGTATGAAGGCAACGTAGTGATATTTAGTTTACGACGCCGTTCTTGTACGACTCTATTATGGATTCCGGAGTCCACGCTCATTTCTCTCTCAGCTTGGATAGGAAACTACCACTAAACTGGTGTCATATCAGATCTCTACCACGGGATTTGGATTATATGCATGCGGGTGAGAGATGTATTTGTCTACATGGGACATTGGGATAGACCTCGATGTGTCAGTTTACTATGGTACGTCTGTGCCTCAGACGCTATCGACTGCCAACTCTATAATCCACTCATATGTAATATAGCTTTCAATCAAAATGTCATAAATCCCATATGGAGGCTTTCCTAGCTGCGGAACGCAACTAGATTCGCGTTGATCATTTATAGACAAATGTACCCTCCGAATATTCTCAATCGAAATGATCAGATGGCAAGGGGACCGTACCTTTCATGTTTGCATAGTAAGTGGATCTAAGTGGAGCTACATATAATTAACGGTAGACTGACGCTGATTTTGACTTTCTAGTAACATTCTGTAAGGCGAATAACGCACCGTGATTTCCCACCACATTAACAACAAGGGCGCCACGATCAGTCAAAACTCATTGTGGGATCTTATAATAGTCCTTTATGGTCATTTCGCAGGACAATGGACAATTACGTTGACAATAACGCGACGCGGTCACGTGCGGCTTGTGCGTATAAGGACCCTGGACACGGTCAACTCGCCTTGTTTTTTCTTTACTCCCAACCACCATCGGCGTTGTTCCACGCTTCTCCCTCGCTCTACAATTTGCTTCTCATCTCAAAGCATGTTTGCTATGAAGGAGAACGCGATGTGGAATTTCGCCAAGACAGCGTTCGAGAAGGCGAACACGGCGGCCGTCGCGCCACTCAAGGGTTTCAAATCCCTCGACATCTTCTCCCATGTCTTCAATCCTAACTCTCGAAGTGTACGGTCGCGTTCTTCAGACAGGTCTCAGTCCGTACCCCAGTCTTCGCTCGGGCTCAACATCCCACCACCACGTCAGTTTGCCTCTACCATTCATCGCAACCACACATCCTCCTCCCAAATTGAGCCCCATCACGGATCACCTCAATGCGTTTTACCACTCGTGACGCCTGAGGGAAGGATTGCAATTTCGGTGTCGTATCTGGTGTCTCCAGTTATGGCTGGTCAGTTTGACACAGTACCAGAGGAGGAAGATGGCGAATGTGAGCTACCAGACGGGACATACAACGCTATTAGCAAGCTACTGGATGAGACAGAAATCGAACTACCCAAGGACTCTTTCGCAGATCTTGCCACGCCTCTTCCCAGCAATCTTAGTCTCGACACCGCCTTCTCTTCGCTTAGGATATTAGATCCAGCGCGGAGATCGCCCTCCTCACTTTCCTCTCGAGCCTCATCTGTGCTCAATACGCCAATATCCCTCCTTCCATTCAGCGACTATACGATCTTCGACGCTCCCGACGAATATTTCCTCTCCCGGCAACCGGCGACTGAGATCCTGATCGCCGACGGAGGAAAGGGCAAAAGCAAAGAGGACTATGTGTATGATCCGTTAGAGGAAGAAGAACACGAGAAGATGAATCGTGAGAGGCGGTGGGCACTGCGTGAAAATTACTTGGTGGGGGTATGTGACGCTATTGGTGAAGGTCCTTCTAGGGTGAGTGTTCCAGTTAATGGAGTTTTACGACTTTGAAGCTGAATTGATTTATATACTCCATAGATTCCAATCTGCTTTGGAAGCCGGTATAATTAATCTGGTTGGTTGCAAGCCTCCAATGGTCGCGAGGAACTTTGGTCCTTGGAGCTCTGAAGCATTGATACTTTCCGCAATGAGTTACAATCAGAGCGAAGAAGATGAATGTATCGGACCTTTTCCATCTTTATTTCTTTTCTTATTTCTGGCTTTATTTCCTTTCTCTATTACTTGTCTCCTTTCTCGAATTGCTCTCTGTAAAATAAAACTGTATCTTTGTTCTCCATGTAAATACATACATAATAATTGATCATTCTGCCTTTCTTTCCACGGGAATAAAATGTTATAATTAATTATAAAGGAAACAGCGTGTCTAGGTTTAGAAATAACAGCCGTTACTTGATAAACCTTGCGGGAATTCCAGGGAACTCCGATCTGCCATAAATTCAAAGGGATAACGAACAAGATCGAACCACCATAGGGAGCTTGGCACACTTTAAACGGAATCATAATAGGGCATAATCAGTGATATTTGTGACTGATAGATTCTTTTGTCAACTTAAATGGAAACACTCTTTTTAAGCTTTTTGTTGTGAACCACTGCATCGACTCGGCTTGGCAGTGGTACGCCGCGTTCAGCGCTCAACTCACGTATAACTCTGGACGTCGATTGAGAGGATTGAACATACCAGATTTTTAGAGTAACAAAAGACAGTCCGCGCAAGGTGTCCTTATCCGAGAGAGCCTCATTGCATACTGTATATTGCTGTTTTTATTTTATTTTATTTTTATTTTTATTATTTCGCCTGGAGATGTTGTACATCACCTAAAAAAGCATAGCCCAGAACGCCTAGGACTCGCCTGGACAGGGTAGCAGGGTCAATGGTAAAGATCATTATGGGCCTTCTTGAGGTTTACCGCCCTCTGAAGGATGCCCCTTAATTTGGAGGCTATTGTGACTTCTTCAATGCACAGTTTTATTTGACGATTCCAGTGGGATACACTGTTGTAAATTCAATACTGATCAGCCCGTTCGTCTCCAAGTTGGACTCGGTCACAAGACCAGACCTTTTTTATTAGCACAGATTCTCCTAAGCTGTCGTCTCTAGACAAAGAATTTAGCTGGACTAAGTAGCTTCGGCTGAACTGAGTTTAGAGTGTCTTCGGATCCTCGAAGTACGGGCAAAACCGTCACCAACGGACAGCCTCTACTTCTCATTGGGATTACGAAGGAAGAGCTATGATCTTGACGGAAGCGAATTAGAGACAGTGCAATAATGTCCTGAAGGCATCTTGGTATATGGAGTTTCGAGAGGCGTATAGGATGAATGTGAGTTTGATGTGGACCGGATGTCCGATGGCGTCAGGATAATCGATGTGATCAAGCTCGAAACGATGCTTGGTGGCTCCGCTAAATCGTCAAGAATGTAGTGGATAAGAACTAGCGCAGTGGTCGGGGAGCGTGAGAGTGAAACAGACGGTCAAGTTGTGACACTTAATCATTACCGGGTGACGGGGATAACAGGGAGTCTATAACCGCATTGAGCAAATTCACGAATATCCATCGAGGCATAGAACATGCACTCACTTCCATAGAC